TATCTATCTATCTATCTATCTATCTATCTATCTATCTATCTATCTATTTTGTCTATCTAATAGGAGACCCAAGTTTTAATCTCTCATACTGGTTAATGTTATTGTGTTTCTTTCTATTGGATTTGACTACTGAGATCCTTGCTGTATACTTGAATTTCATTAGGAAAGAGCAAGTGAGGGAGATAAGAGATTAATACAGATGGACATCATTCATTTCTGCTTACCCTGAGGCCCACAGTCACTAATGTATTTAGATAAGTACTCATCCCTAGCCCTGGAGGACAATAATTCTCAATAACTGTCACCTGAACTGACATGGAAGAAAGTTAGGATGTCTTGGTAGAAAGTCTTTTGCTTTTAACTTCTCTGAACACTTCACACCCAAAGACTGAGGGCTAGTAGGTAAGCAAGGAGAAAAGAAGGTTATGAGAATGCTAAGACCCTTATCTCCTTAAGTGACACAGGGCTTATATAGGAAAGAGGCAAAATCCATCAGATCTAGGACCAAAGGTTAGAAATAGAGAGTTACTGGTAATCAAAATAATAGCTGACATTTACAAAGCTCTTAGAGAATCAAAGAACCTTGCATAAATTATTTCATTTGATGCTTACAGAAACCTTGATGGGTAGGTTTTATATGTTGTTCAGTTGTTCCAGTTTGTGTCTGACTCTTTGTGACCCCATTTGGGGTTTTCTTGCCAAAGATACTGGAGTGGTTTGCCATTTCCTTCTCCAGGCCACTTGACAGATGAGGAAACTGAGGCAAACAGGGTTAAGTGACTTGCCCAAGGTCACACAGCTAGTAATTATCTGAGGCCAGATTTGAACTCAGGAAGATTAGTCTTTCTGACTCCAGGCCCAGCAATTCATTTACTGTGTCACCTAGCTGCCCTAGTAGATAGGTATTATAAGTATTATTTTGACCTTTATACAGATGAGGAAACTGAGACTCAGGTTAAGTTTTTTTCCCATTCCCACATAGCTACTAGTTATTGGAGATGAGGTTTGAATTCAAGTCTTTCTGGACTCCAACTCTTTTCACTATACCATATTGTAGTGGTGATATAGTAATCCCATAAGCAGCATGTGGCAACTTCAACCACACATATGAATAAGCCAAGAATTCAGAATTGGAAGGAACTTTAGAGAATACAATGTCAGAAGTAGAAAGGGCCTTAGGACATTGAATGCCAGAGATATAAGGGACTTCAGGACATAGAATGTCATAACTGGAAGGGACATTAGAATATAGAATGCCAGAGGTATAAGGGATCTTAGGACACAGAATGACAGAGCTGAAAGGGACGTTAGAACACAGAATGTCAAAAGTATAAGGGCCCTTAGGGCATAGAATGTTAGAGCTGGAAGGAACCTTAAAACTTAAATGTTAGAACTGAGACACCAATGACGTAATTTGGCCAAGATCATAGAGCAGGATCCAAAAGATCTGTGTGGTACTCCCAGCTCTGCCACTATCGAGGTCTCTTTCCACCATGACACACTGACATGGCAGCTGTCATGTGGTATGATGTGACAAGAAGGAAGAGGAGGACTGAAGCCAAGGGAAAAGCCTAATGAGCTGGCAACCAGACCAGACAATGAGACAGAGAGATCCAAGAACAGGCAGATGGGCACATAAAAAGACTGAGAGGCAAACAGGAGGAGATGTTGGAGAACATGTCCCTCCTATTCAGCCCCCTACAGGGCCAGACCTTAGAGACAGACCTGCCTTTGGCAGCCAACCACTTTCTGTCCTTCACCCCACCCTCGACCCCATCTTTTTTACTATGGAAACCACAGCAGGAAAGCTCCCCGGTGAAAGGACCATACCTCCATTAGGTCTATTAACCATAAGAGCCGCTCCTGGGAAAGATAATTCAGGCAAACACAAAAAGGGGGAAAAAACAAAATAAAACAATGCATTAGGGACTGGAACAGATGCAGCAAACCACTACCATTCCACACACAAAAAGGCAATAAAAATAAACATAAGACCCTGATAAAAGAACCCCCAATCCTTTTTGCCACAAATCCACTAAGTAACATTCTCTTGCATGAAGCTGTTAAAGTAAAAATGATAGGAGTAGTTTAGGGCAGACATTTTAGGAGGCCCTAGAGCTAAGCGAGGATTAATACTGAAACTCATATAGTGGTCATGAAACCAATCTACCAAAAATAGAAAATTAGGGGCTATCCAGTGGTACAGCCTGTGATCTGGGTCTTAGGGAAGAAGCTCAGACTTTCAGCCCTTCCTGGAAGCCTTTATATGAAATGTAGGCAATGCCTTGGATGCAAATGCCATCTTCAGGCTTCCACAGTCATATATGAGCCAGGGCTTGAGTCTAATTGAGTGCTACAGTCTGAGGAATGTCTCAGGAATGATGACAGAAGAAGGAAAAGGGGCCAGATAATTAGATTCAGCCTGCGTAGCCTGCCGAGCTCCAGACTGTTAGCAAGTTTCACTGCTGGGTATTTAGGGAAGGTTTCCTAAATCCCCTAGTTAGTACCTAACAATAGAGCATACACTAGGCATTTAACAAATGTTTGCTGCTTGCTTGGATGGATGCATGGGCACATATATAATATATAAGTATGTGTGTACATGTATATGTGTGTATGCTATATATTTAGGTATATGTGCATATATACACATGCATATGTGTATCATATATGTGTATATAAGTATGTAAGTATGTATACATGTGTGTATAAGGACTATATGTATATATGTGTGTATATACATATATGTGTATATACATATATGTGTGTATACATATATATCTATATCTATATATAGTCTTACTACAGAAATGTATTAGAAGCACTTGAGAAATAACCCAGGGTGTGCCCTTCCCTGGCAAGCTGTCTCTTATGCAGGCACAAAGTACTTCACTCTTCCCTATAATGAAGGTTTCCAGGTTTCCATGAACACTGCTCTTGGTCCCTCCTGAAGGCAGTAACTGAGGTGCCAAAGATCACCTATGTCTCCTGTAAGGCTTTTAGGGTTTCTTCTGGATTTGGAAGGGCAGTGGTGATCATTAGAGCTAAACCTTCTTCTATACCAGTCCAGGTACTACCCAGCAGTAGGAGGTATTTGCTCATAAAAGTGACAGCAAGTGAAAGAACCATCTTTACAACTCATCAGGCATTGGACTGAATATAAAGAAGCCTAGCTGGTTAGAAAAAAAAATACAGACATAGAAACTATGTGCAAAAAGGCCAGAGGTCCTTTCTGCAGCTCCCAGAGGTTCTCAGAATAGAAGGGGAAGTAACACCAGCCACCACAATTCAAAATTCAAAATCTGTCAGGGGATTGGGCTTTTTCAGACATACCAGTTTTGGGGACATGTGAAGTGATACTGACACAAGGTACAGCCCGGGCCAGGGGCTCAGAGAATTAGAGAATTAGAGAGCTAGAAGGGAGCTGCCCACAGTGACACAGCGAGTCAGTAATCGAGCCAGGACTAGAACTCAGGACCACAGTCTCCCAGGCCATTCATTGTTCTTTCCAAACTGCTTCTAAGACTCTTGTTGTCTGGGCCTGAAAAAGCACTCAGAATCATCTCCTAAAATCTAAATGATTCCTAAGGGGCAGCAGATGATTGAAATTTGTTTCTGTCAGGGTCCCTGACTTACGGTGACAGGCACGTGACAGATTAAAGCATGCAGTTTTTAACTCGATCCCAGATTATCCTCAGGGATTCAGAAGGTACCACTTCGCATTTGAGCCCCACACTATGTCCCAGTGGCCAGGATTTTCACCTAGGGGTCACCCCCTGGACAGGGTATATCCCTGGCCCATCTTACAAGTGCTGCATAAACCACTAACTGGATGAACAAGATGCCAAAGTTAATTTACTATGCAGAACACGTGGAGAGGAGCAGAAGGACTCTAGCTTCATCCTGGAGAATCAGGACTCCAGGCGATCAGTTTATATCCTGAAGCATGAAATGATGACATTGTTATAATCAGGGCTTTGATGCCACTTCCTGCATCTATCCAGGAAAATCATTTAGACTTGGAGTTCTTGTGGGAAATAAAGCTGCCCAAGGACTTTGTTCCCACACCTGCCCCAATTTAAGAAAGGGGGCGGGAGGCACTGTGCAATGGAAAAGGAAAGAGATTGCTGCTGAAGGAAGGTAATTGGTGGGCTCTTAAGATCTGGTAACAGTCAAGAGGCCATATATAGACCATACTTAGAATATTTAGAGGCATTATGCCATAGAGGATAGAATGGGCCTTGAAGCCAGGAAGACCTGGGTTCCAGTCTCACCTGACACACTGGCTGTGTGATCCTCTCAGTGTTATAAACAGCTCTTGAAGACAATAATTTGCAGAGAAGATGCCAACCTGTATTGGTAGAGGAAGGTCCTCACCAGGAGCTCCCTCCACCAATGGAATGATAGGTCATTATCCCTACCTTGAATATTCACAGACATGGAGAAATACGAGAGAGTGTCATGAAAATCCCTAGATAATATAAAAAAAATCTCATTTTTGTCAATAACTCCAACCTCCTTTCCCAGTATATCAAAACAGCAAGAACACAAAGAGAGAAGTCAAAATTCTATCTCTGTTCCCTTTTCCTTCCCTTTTATTGGTGGAGGTATAGTGAACTGACCAAAAGGTGTGAAACAAGAAGGAGAAACTGAGTCAGGAGACCCAGACAAGCTGGATAATCAGCCACTGGACTGTCATGGAGCACTGACCCTGTGGTAAACACAGATGCTTGCTTACAGACTGATGTGTCACACCTCGAGATGGAGGGTCCAAAGAAGGATTCCTGCTCCTCCTTCCTCCATCATGCCATTTAGCTTTGATGAAAGGTCTTGAATCCTCTGGGATCATGAGGCACTCACTATTTGTCAGATCACATTGTTACAAATGGTCAGCTGCAAAAAGACCTTGGCCAGGTTCTGGTTCTGGTTTGGGAGGGAGGAGAGGAAGGGATGGAAGCTGCTACTGAGTGCATACAGTCTGATTCTAGAGAGAGAGAATCAGGGGCTGGGAGAAGAACCCCCCACCCCACCCCTAAGCAGATAGTGGGCCCAAGGGCGGGGACACTCACTCGAGCGGAGCTGACCGTGGTAGAAGTGACCTGGCTACCAGAAGAGGAGCCGGTGTCACTGTAAGACACCACAGAGTAAGTGTCCGTGCCAGTGCAGGATGGCTGCCGGGCCTTCATGGACTCAATCTCCCGTTTCAGCACCATGTTGTCAAAGCGATCGAGGTCATGGGGGGAGATCAGACCCCTCACCTCAGATAGAAGGGAAAACTGGGGAACAAAAGAACATATTCAACTGAGCACTCCAGGAAAGTTTTTTTTCCCCTTCTATAATCTTAAACTAAATAATCTCTAAAGCCCCCTTCCATTTTAACTCCTTTTCACAAATAATCTCATAGCATTTGTTGATTGCTTTGGTAAAATAACTTGTTCAAGGTCATAGGTTCATAGACGTAGAATTGGAAGAGATCATGAAGGCTATCAAGTCCAACCTCATCTTACAGATGAGGAAACTGAGGCTCAGGGAGGAAAAGTGACTTGCCAAGGGTTATACCAGTAGTAGTAGGCATCAGCAGCAGGATTTAAATCCAGGTCCTCTGCCTCCAGACCCAGTGAGGTTTCCTCCATTCTAGTGGAAAGAACTCTGAATCTGAAATCAGAAGACTTGGTTCCAAATCAAATCATGTCTCTGCTACTTTCTGTCCAGGTGAACTTTGGCAAGACACTCAACCTAAGGCTTGGGCCCCAGTTTCCTCACCAATAAAATGAAAAGATTGGACCAGAGGAACTCTAAGACCTCTTCCACTTCTAAATCCTTTGATCCTATGACTATTTAGACCTATGTCAAGCTATCTGATGGCATGTGGACGATAGGAACTGTTGAGTTCCACTTCAGCCCTAGCTCTAACTTTTCACACAAGATTCTGACAATTACTATTTACGTAACTTTGAGCAAGTCATTTCATCATTTCTTCAGATTTATTTCTTCATCTGTAGGAGTTTGGACTAAATTACCTCCAATTATCATTTCCAGTTCTAAATCCACAATCCTATGATTCCCCAATCGCTACAAACCCCAAACCCAAATTCATACTTTCCAAAGATCCCTTCCCTAATCTCCCTCTCCACTACAAATACTATCCCACAAAATGGGGCATTTTCTTGAACTGCCAAACAAAGGAGTCTGGATCTTAGGCATGTGTTTCTTAGATCTGGGGCGCTCTGAATGTATAACTGAGGCCTTGACAAAGTCTAGAAGAAAGTGAGGGTTCTATCAGGCATTCATAGTACTCCTCCCCACTCCCTGAATCCTGGCCGCTGTTTGGAGCCTCAAAGTCTACAGAACTGGTCTGGAGCAGCTCCAGTGGCAATAGGCCCGTCCACAGCACTGTACCTTGGCTTGGGTGTTGAGTAGTTCAAACAGAGCCATGATGAGGGCATCCACATGGATGTTATTTTCCTTGTACTCATCTAGGTAGTAGCCCATGGTTGCTCTCTCCTGCTCATTAAGCAGATGCCGGGCTTGTTCCTCTAAGATGACCCGGGTCTGGTTGACCATGCTGCTCAGAGTGACCTGGGACCTGGCTGGCCCCTTGTAGAATCCCAGCTGAAAGACAAATTGGATCACACAGAGAACAGAATTTACTCTGGAGTGAGAATCCACATTTCCCTGGCATGACTAAAAATCTTACGTGAGACACGCCTACATAAGCCACAGGAGGGAAATTTCCGTCACGACATACCAGTCACAACAAGATCCCAAAAAGGATGGCATGGCACAGAGGAAAGAAGGTGGAGTTTGTCCTGGAGTTAGGAAACCTGGGTTCAAATCCTAGCCTTGACAAGAATAGCTAATGAAGTGCAGTAAAAGGCACAATGGATCTAGAATCAGAAAACCTGGTCTGAAGACTGACTCGTATACTGCTTGTATGTCAGATCTTGGGCAAGCTACAGAGGAGAAACAGCGACTGACATCTGTCACATAGGGTAAGGCACCTAGACAGCCTCGAGGTGAGAGAACTGTCCAAGATATTCATTTTCATTCTCTCTGTGTCTCTCTGTCTCTCCTCTCTCTGTCCCTCTATCTCCATCTCTCTCTATATGTGTCTCTCCGTCTCTATCTCTGGCTTCATCTCTCTGTCTCTGCCTGTCTCTCTGTTTCGATCTCCATCTGACTGCCTATTTCAGCTCCGGATCAGCTTGCCCCTAAGACATGCCTGATCCAGCTGCGTCGTACACAAGTGCTCTCTGAGCTCGCAGGTGGCTCACGTATGACTTGAGAATGGTCTAGATTTCAAGAGGCCACCAACAAAAGGGGATAATAACCTCAATTCACCATCACATAGTAGATCTGGGAATTCATTTCTTAGGTAATATACCTTAAAAAGGCCTTAAGTTTCAGGTGGGGATTGGGGAAAATGACAAGCAACTGTTCCCGGTTTGCCTGGATCATGGGCCTCACAGGCAAACTGACCTAGATTAGGGAGTTGGAAAGGGAGAGGGAGGAAGGAAGAGACAGAGACAGACAGACTGACAGACAGGCAGAGACAGAGATAGGCAGAGAGAGACAGGGACAGAGACAGTGAGACAGAGAGAGAGAGAGAGAGAGTTACATAGAGAGACAGAGAAGAGATAAAAGAGGAGGGAAGGGGAGAGGGAGAGGGTGAGGATGAGAGAAAGAGAATGAGAGAATGAGAGAAAAGGGAAAGAGAGAGGGAAGGAGAGGGAGGGAAAAAGGAGGGAGAAGGATGGAGAAGAAGAAGAAGAAGAGAGACAGAGAGAGAGAGAGAGAGAGAGAGAGAGAGAGAGAGAGAGAGGCATGAATCAAGGGCTCTTACTTTAGGATGTCTATGAAGTTCCTGTTAGCTTTGAGGTGCTATGATTCTAGGCATTAGACAAGACTAGAAAGGCTTTTCTGATTCTAACATCCTAGGAAATGAAACATGGCACATGGGAAAGGAGTAGAATTTGTCCTGTATTTGGTTCAAATCATGGCTTGGACAGCTAGAGGCAATGTGATATGGTAGAATGGAGCTAGAATCAGAGGACCCTGGTTTGAATCCTGCCTCATATGTTCTGCTTATCAGAAACTGTGCAGGCTACTTTGCTTCTCTGAGACCAATTTCCCTCATCTGTAGCATGTGGGGAATAAGAGAAGGAGGAACAAGCATTTATTTCACACCTACTCAGTGCCAGATACTGTGCTAAATGCTTTTACAGATATTATCTCATTTGATCCCTGTGAGGATCCTGCATAAAGGGATTGGATGATAGGACCACTAAGATCTCTTTCGGCTAAATCTTGTCTGAGATAGGACGTGCATGAGTCTCTGCCACTCCAGGTCTCATTTCCTCATCTGTAAAATGGGAATAATGCTACCTTCAACCACATATAAATATGAGTTAGTCTTCTATAATTCTATTATCTGTGTAGTACTGAACCCATCTAAACCTGCCTGTCTTGCTATAATCAGCTATTTTCTAGAGCCTCTAAATCTAGTCCATTTTTACTTCAATTTAAGGAAGGGGGTGGTATCTACTGAGAACTGATTCCCCCATAAATAGCTTCTACTTTAACCAAAAGATCTAGTAGTAGTAGTAGTAGTAGTAGTAGTAGTAGTAGTAGTAGTAGTAG